TGACAATGAGACTGTCACAGGTCGGCTCAGTAGATCGGGAGGTGAGCGAACACATACCGGCGTTCGCTCACCTCTTGATCCTGTCACGGCTTCCTGCCGTGACAGGGGAAGCGCTGGATTCCCCCCTTCCCGCTCCGATCCGCCAGCGCTGACTGGCAGAACGGACGGGGGAGGGGGCGGGTACAGCTGGCTTGGCCTCTAGATAGGCAGAGCCAGCTGTCAGTCATGCCGCTGGGCGGATCCCGGCATAATTGTCAGGATCCGCTTCAGCTGCGGCGTCTCAGTATACCGTGAGCAGCAGCTCGCGGTACACTGCGGAGTCTCAGTATACCGCGAGCTACAGCTCGCGGTATACTGAGCCTAGGGTGACGGGAGGACGCTAGTTTGTGTCCTCCCGTTACCTTAAGGAGAACTATGGGGAAAAGCCTTAACCCCATAGTTCTCCTTTAACATACAGTATGCCTAAGCCCTCGTTCACACCTGAACGTTTTGTAGCGAGTTCTACGCTCGATGAACTCTCTACAAAACGCTCAAAAATATAAATCCCATTGTATTCAATGGTCTCGTTCCCACCTTGGCGTATTTCCACCCGTCCCTAACGCGCTACAAAACGGCCCACGCCTGAAAAGGTACATGTACTACTTTGGGCCGTTTTGTTGCGCGTTTCCATTGGGATACAGCCAAGTAGCCTTCGGAAACGTGCGACGGTCGCGCAACTTTTTTACAGCGAATCGCGGTAAAAAAACGCAATACGCCTAGGTGTGAACGAGACCTAAATCAAGGGAGAGTTGCCAGCATAGCCATTACCCTAAGAGAGGCCAGTGCTCTGGCTACAAGTTGCCTAGGAAGATGGGGCAGAAATGGAGGGAATTTACTTTTAACCTTAAAAAAGAACTCCAGGAATGTAAAAAACTATCCCCACATTGCAAGGGTTAAGCGCTTGTTTGTCTAGGGGGCTCAAATAAAGCACATATACTCACCTGATTCTCATTCCTGAAGCATTCAGTGCTCACCTCTCTCCCCCTCCACTCTGGCTGTCAAGTGTCCTTCAGCATCCTCACATCTAATTCAAGTGAATGGACCTGCATTAGATGTCAGCTGTCCTTAGACCACCAAAGCCCAGGGAATGCTGCGGGGACCGGTCTAACAGCGCAGTGAGAACGAGGATCAGATAAGTATATCTGCTTTACTTGGGCCCCGTAGGCAAAACAAGCATTTAATCCTTGCAGTGAGGGGGTAGCCCCACTGCAAAGGGTAAGTGTTTTTAAATTCCTAGAGTTCTTCCTTAATTTTTTAAGCTAAGACATTTTTGCTTAGTAGATCACCTCTCTACTCAGCATCAACTGGTCTTTTTAAAGGGTATAAGATCCTAGGATATAAACGATATATATAATATAATAGATTTTTGATTGGCACAACTTTTCACCATAGACAAATTTTGTAAAAATACAACATTTTGTTCAGTATGACATAGCTAAAAAGTCTCAACTAAGAGTACAACAACCCAGCAGTGCTACATTTCCATCTATTTTGTTATAAGCAAAACATTCCTTCATTTACTACAAGAGAGAACATTTTAATTCCTGGCACATTTCAGGGAGCAGCATCCCTTTCTTCAGAGGGACATTTAACTGTTACACATTTAAAGTTCTCTATTGACCATCAATGCTATCAATCAAGTATATAATACTTAATTCCTATATGCTTGACTGACATACTTTTTCCTAAGCATGATATATGAGTCCCTACAACCTAGGTCTAAAATCCCAAAGGGGTTGATGTCAAGTGGCACACTTAATCAATTGACTATATCCCATCCTAAATCTTCAAGTCCTCAAAATGCTCACTGCTCACAATAGTAAAGAGTATTTAGGAGGCAAAGTAGTGATATAATTAATTATCACGCTAAATGATGTATACTAAAGATTCTAAATTTGTTTTGGGCATCCAGGATTTAATGATCTCTGATTCTGAATGGGTTTAAGATGTAATGATTCTTTTACTGTGTTGGTATACTTGAGCAATGTACAAAACACCACAGGAAATAAAGATGTTTCTACTTGCTTTTTCGAGACCTTCCATATCATAATACACAGAGTAACCCAAAGTTAAGAGCCAATTTTAATAATTTACTCTTTGGATTTCTCTTGTCATTTAATGGTTGAAGAGATATATTTTGAAGAACTACATCTCATAATAGTCACTGATAGAACTGATGTATTTTTTTTACTTCATGAATAACATTCAAGACCCCTTCTGCTATAAGTAGCTAGTTGTGGGAATCATCGCCTTTTATTTGTTTACTATTTGTATTATTACACATCATGCAGATTTTTTAGGCCAGGTTCACTCCTGGGAGATCCATGACCGCACGGCAATTGCACACAAAACCGTGAATATGGCTGCGCAGTCACGGAATCGTACACCACCATTGATTGCACTGGCAGTGCCATTCTTTTTTAATGTGCCAGGCAGATTGTGCAGTTTCCCACTGCGATTCTGCCCGTGCAATTGCACATAATTGCAGCTAAAAATACTGCGCGGTGCATGTTGCGAAAAAAGGAAAATTGTCAGCGATTGCCGCGTGGATATAAGTCCATTGAAATAATGGATTGCCCAAGTCTGCACCAGCCCTTAGCTGTTCTGACTTAGCGCAGCAGTGAAAAGTGGTGGGCACTGTATTGGCTTTCTTTTGAAACAAGCCAAACACAAGCAGTGGTGTATTCTGGTTGGGGGCTGCCCTAGGCAAGACAAAACTCACCCCTCCCCACACACTAAATTGATCCCACCCGGCTGTGGTCTCAGATGGGCTCTGCAGGGTCTGTGGTGGGCTCTACAGGATCTGTGGTGGGCTGTGAAGGATCTCTGGTGGGCTCTGCAGGGTCTTCAGCTGCTAAGCCCACCTGAGACCCTGCAGAGCCCACCATAGACCCTGCAGAGCCCTTCACAGATCCTGCGAAGCCCCCCTGAAATCCGGCTGAGCCCTTCACAGATCCTGCACAGCCCCCTTGAGACCCAGCAAAGCCCCCCACAGATCCTGCAGATACCCCCTGAGGCCCTGCAGGATCTCAGGGGGGCTCTGCAGGATCTGTGGGGGGCTTTGCTGGATGCAGAGCCCCCTATGGATCCTGCAAAGCCCACAATTGATCCTGCAAAGCCCCCTGAGACGTGGCAAAGCCCCCCACAGATCTTGCAGGATGTCAGGGGGCTCTGCAGGATCTGTGTGGGGGGGTTGCAGGCTGCAGAGCCCCCTATGGATCTTGCAAAGCCCTCCTGAGACCCGACAAAGCCACCCACAGATCCTGCAGAGACCCCTGAAACCCTGCAGCCTGCAGGATCTCAGGGGGGTTGTGCAGGATCTGTGGTGGGCTTTGCAGACTGCAGAGCCCCCTACAGATCCTGCAGAGCCCCCCTGAGATCCTGCAGGCTGCAGGGTTTCAGGGGTCTCTGCAGGATCTGTGGTGGGCTTTGCAGACTGCAGAGCCCCCTACAGATCCTGCAGAGCCCCCCTGAGATCCTGCAGGCTGCAGGGTTTCAGGGGTCTCTGCAGGATCGGTGGGGGGCTTTGTCGGGTCTCAGGAGGGCTTTGCAAGATCCATAGGGGGCTCTGCATCCAGCAAAGCCCCCCACAGATCCTGCAGATACCCCCTGAGGCCCTGCAGGATCTCAGGGGGGCTCTGCAGGATCTGTGGGGGGCTTTGCTGGATGCAGAGCCCCCTATGGATCCTGCAAAGCCCACAATTGATCCTGCAAAGCCCCCTGAGACGTGGCAAAGCCCCCCACAGATCTTGCAGGATGTCAGGGGGCTCTGCAGGATCTGTGTGGGGGGGTTGCAGGCTGCAGAGCCCCCTATGGATCTTGCAAAGCCCTCCTGAGACCCGACAAAGCCACCCACAGATCCTGCAGAGACCCCTGAAACCCTGCAGCCTGCAGGATCTCAGGGGGGTTGTGCAGGATCTGTGGTGGGCTTTGCAGACTGCAGAGCCCCCTACAGATCCTGCAGAGCCCACCAAAGGGTATTGCACAGCACACCTGAAACTCTTTGGTGGGCTGTGCAGAACCTATGCTGGGCTCTGCCAGCACAGTCCTCTTACCTGGCACTGCCTGACCTCTTTGGAACTCGGCGCCCGACTGGACGGCCTCCTCGTCCTTGGCGCAGCACAACACAGATGTACTATAGCTTGGCAACTGGCATATAAAGTTGCTCTAACAGTCCAACATGAGGAGGAACAGCTCTCCCTAGGCAAGCCACTGCACCTTTCTATGGGCTTAGCATTCAAACAGTATTGTGCCTAATTTCTACCATGTTTCCAAACAAAAACAAACAGTGACAGCTGTCACAGACCCCCCCCCCCTAGGGTCTAAGTAGAGGCTTGCTGCATAGGCCCCCAGTGGAGGTGTCCTGCAGACCCAAGTGGATTCCCTCTAGGATTATCACATTTACAACACATTGTTTTTAAGCAACTTGTGAATTTTCTTTAGGCCATAATGTATGTCCCACTGACATGGAGGTTGAGAACACATGAACATTTGAAGCGTAGACACGGCATCACTGATGGTTACTACAATTTGGTATTCATTGACTACAATCATAACTTATATTCAATGGCATGAGGTGGACCTTTATCCTAAATATGACTAACAATCTAAAAGTAGCCACCCACCCTCCAATCTTAAATTGCTAGGTGTAGACATACAAGAACACTGTGCAGGGTTGTATTCTTGCAAGCTTTTGAATCTTCAGATTTCCCAGGAGGCATTGGTGAGGCAAAGTGACTTCACTGCCTCCTAAGCAAGCAGGCTGGAAGGTGTTAGTATCTTTTACTTATTTTTTTTGTTATGTTTTTGCTAGACTTATACTGTGCAACAATATTTGTTATACTTTTTTTAACCCTTTGCATTTGAGCAACTGCAAGACTGTAACAGGAAAGCTTTAATGCAATGAAAACGTTTATTTGTTCACATGATATAATTTTCAAATGCATGTCTCTTTCCTGCAGAATGTTGACAAGTGGACCTTTGATGTATTTGCACTAAATGATGCTAGTGGCGATCATGCACTTAAATTCATCTTTTATGAATTACTTACACGTTATGATTTGATCAACCGCTTCAAGGTGAGTAGCGTAACAAGTTATTTTGTTTTTGAATCCATGTTGTGTTTTAATGTGAATTATCTATGTCGCCAGAATACAAATGTAGAAATAAAAGTACATCTACATTGTATGTGTTTGATATGCATTGCTTAGATTTTAGTAACTGTATTCAACATAATGGATCTTGTGAAAATATTTATTTCCGGGTGTCTTGCACACAATTATTTTATAAAGTACAATAATAACCTTATTTAAGTGATGTACTGTCACATGTTAAATGGGTCATACACACACACAGACCCACACACAGACACGCATGCTCTCTCTCTTTCCCTCACCTACAAACACATCCAGCCCTACACTGTTGGTCAGGGCTACAGTGTCACATTTCAAATTTATACCACACTTCAGGTGGAACACACTAGCAGGTAAAACCTTCATTTAATCCTTATACAATAGTTTACTGTAATCTGTAGATTAACATTCTTTGACAGAAAAAATCAATCTATGTTGCAGCTGTGAGCTAAGTCACTTACAAGCTGCAGTTCTCAATATAACAACCAGCAACCAGTCAGTGTAGTTAACAATATAACAACCAGTTTCTCAATATAAGAACCAGGAACCAGTCCAGTGTAGCCTATGTGATCCCAACAACAGCCAATTATTGTGATTGCTAGAAGTTTGCTTACAAACAAACATATCCAGTCAGCACAGGGTACTGTGCCCATCTCTCTCCCTGTGCACTCGCTGTGTACAGAAAAAGAGGTACACTGTTTGAAATTATTACAGCGTTTAAATCAAATTTTCAAAGGCTTTTATGTGTAAAAAAACATTCCTTTACCCCTTAGCCAGCTTATATTACAAAAAGTATGTTGTTTACTGTAAAACAGTTTACCACATAAAACCTTATATTAAAAATAGTAAAGAGTATTTAGGAGGCAAAGTAGTGATATAATTAATTATCACGCTAAATGATGTATACTAAAGATTCTAAATTTGTTTTGGGCATCCAGGATTTAATGATCTCTGATTCTGAATGGGTTTAAGATGTAATGATTCTTTTACTGTGTTGGTATACTTGAGCAATGTACAAAACACCACAGGAAATAAAGATGTTTCTACTTGCTTTTTCGAGACCTTCCATATCATAATACAGAGTAACCCAAAGTTAAGGGCCAATTTTGATAATTTACTCTTTGGATTTCTCTTGTCATTTAATGTTTGAAGAGATATATTTTGAAGAACTACATCTCATAATAGTCACTGATAGAACTGATGTATTTTTTTTACTTCATGAATAACATTCAAGACCCCTTCTGCTATAAGTAGCTAGTTGTGGGAATCATCGCCTTTTATTTGTTTACTATTTGTATTATTACACATCATGCAGATTTTTTAGGCCAGGTTCACTCCTGGGAGATCCATGACCGCACAGCAATCGCACACAAAACCGTGAATATGGCTGCGCAGTCACCACCATTGATTGCACTGGCGGCACCATTCTTTTTTAATGTGCCAGGCAGATTGTGTGGTTTCCCACTGCGATTCTGCCCGTGCAATTGCACATAATTGCAGCTAAAAATACTGCGCGGTGCATGTTGCGAAAAAAGGAAAATTGTCAGCGATTGCCGCGTGGATATAAGTCCATTGAAATAATGGATTGCCCAAGTCTGCACCAGCCCTTAGCTGTTCTGACTTAGCGCAGCAGTGAAAAGTGGTGGGCACTGTATTGGCTTTCTTTTGAAACAAGCCAAACACAAGCAGTGGTCATCTATCAGATGTACTGTCTTTGAGATACCTGGAGAAAGATGAAGATAGACATTCCAGCACACAGACTTGTGTTCATCCTGTATTAGCATGTTTAAAGCAGTATATTAGATGTTTTTTCTTTTTATTACAAATGGATGTATGTAGGAGTGTCCTATTATTTGTAAAAGTTGTGTTCCTGTTCAGCCAGATAAGTCCATCTCGCGGGTGCACTGTTCTGAAAGATTCCAGCAAAAAAATAGGTTTTCACTTTTTGTCTTGTTGTTTGCATATTGTCAAATCTGATTACTGCATTTACAGTTAGATAAAAGGATCAATGATTGTAAGGGTAGGAAATCCTGCCATGTAAATTTATTTTACGTTGTGGCAGATCCCTTTGTCTATTTAGTGGGGATAAAAGTGTCTTCCACCTTTATGCCACAAAAATAAACATACTAATTGGTAGGCATCAGCAGTTTGTCAGATATGAAAAACATATTAACAGTAGTAAAATAATATGTTCATTGGGCTATTATCTAAATTTCTGGCATTGTAGATGTGTATGAGCAAGGTAAATCTAGCTCAATAGTTGGGCAAAGCTAAAACAGCACCTCATACAGACAATGGTATATTAAATAATATAATTACATATTAAGAATGGCATCTATGCATTGATTTGTACAGAACATACACCATTTGCCTGCTCTGTGTTTCTCTTCATATTAGTGGTACACTCAACTTTGATTAATTTCCCTCAGTGATATTTGCTATTGTCTGGCCTCATTAAAATTGTAGTAACTTAATGCATGTTTTTATATAATACCTTGCTTTACAGTTTACATGTCCTATGCCCCTCGTGTTTATTTTTTTTCTTTAGTGACTTTTATTTAGGTACTGTATGTATAATTATTGCTGCTTATAATATAATTATAAAGTTTATCCACCACTCAATGTAAAGTTCGGAGCATATGGGGTTCATATTACAGCTTGTTGTTTTACGAACTGTCTAGGAGGTAAGGTTTACCAGCTCTATCAGAGAGAGTTAGCTTTTTTCTAGCTACTTAACAAGTCCATATGTGAAAGAACTGTCAATCTGTCCATCCGGTGACTTTTCCTTTGTAGGGTCAAATTTACATGACATCCAGAACAGATGAGCAAAGCTGCTAGAACAGATCACCCAACAGTGGTCAGACTTAATTGGATGATATTACCAGGCAGTTGTAAAATATATTAAAATGGATCCAGAGATGTTAAAAGTATAGTTTGTTAACCCTTTCTTAGATTTTTCTTAAATCTTCAAAGCAATTAGTTTCCTTGCTTGGCTGCCTTATGCCGAAGAGACACATCCCACAGCTCCCAAAAGGCCCTCTGGAGATAAGCAGCACAGACACAGAATTAAGAAAGTGTAAATCATATACAGTAGCAAATACAAAAGAAACTGCTGTAATATAACTGGCTGCCAAGTTTGAAGCAGTAAAGAAAAATACAGAATGGGCAAAACAATGGCAAAATTGGTGGTTGGCATATGCCAGGAATTTATCATGTGAGTACCAGATGTGACGTAATGTTCACACCTATCAATCAATATTCTGCACCATAGACGATCTGAAAAAGGCAGAAATCCCAATTAAAAGACGCCCACAAAGATGAAACATGTGAAACATACATACTGCCTTGCGTCTGTGTTAACATACCTTTTTTTTAAATGTTGTAAATAAACATTGACAGACTAGGCATTTTTGTTCACTTGTAATATTTCAAAGCTCTGGAAATGGTATGCATTCACCATTGTACTTTTGTATTATTTAACCATGTTCTAGTTTATGCAATTTAGCACTCTTACAAGTCTGTCTTTGGCCATAACAGATATTGCTATATGTTATATGATGGATTTGTTTTGATTTACAAACAAGTTGGAAAGTTTGTGTTATTGGTGTTATAATGTTTTACTTCATCATAATGGACTTTTAGTTATTGATATCTATTAGTCTTAAATATTGATCTTACATAGCAAAGCAACAGGTTCTCACCCCTGGAGCAATTTCTGCTTACCTTCCCTTCCCTAAGTCTTTCTGTTTGCCCATATGAGTGAGGAGAAGTAGCCCTGTGTAAGCTGTTTACACAAGGTGAAGGATTTTCTCCCCACCCTCATGCAAAAGTGCTGGGTGCCTCACCTGCCAATCACTATGCACCAGAACTGTCATGTGGGAAAAATAGAAGTAAGTCATATACTCAGTGGTCCCTCTCACTGATCCCTACATCGCTGCTATGTCCTGTAGTGAAGTAGGGGTCGGAGGAACCACCAAGGACAGCAAAGGGATGCAGGTGATTGACACTCCTGAAATTATTGGTTTCTGAAAAAACTTTGGTGGACAATTCCTCTTCATCGAAGCAGTGTTCAGCAGCATGGAAGAGGTAAGTGTTTACTATTTTCTTTACAGGTATAGGTGATTTTTTAAGTTTCATTTTTTTTGACAGAGTTGTTTTAAGTGCTATCTTTCACTCTGTCTTTAATAAGCCCTATAGTAATTGATTATTTAGGCAAAATGAATAGAATACATTCTAGAATGTACAATATGTACAGAAAAAGCACATATTATTAAACAGTTACACACGGAAAACAATACACAATGGCCAAACCATTTTTTTGCAGCCTAAAAAGAATTTAAAATTATTTCCTTATGATTTCAGCATTCCCTATCTTTAAAGTATTCTGAAGTAAATTGTAAGTTACATCATGTCTGTCAATGAAAAGCAACAAACTAATAAAAGATTTTCGTTGTGACAGTTGGGGGAGGGTAGAGTAAACGATAGTTAGGAATATAAGCAGAGCCCATATATCGGTTGTTAAAAAAAATACTATAAATAAGGAATATAAAAATGCAATAAATATGTATGCATTGAAAACATTTATAAGCCAAGCATTACTACAGTAACAGAACAACGAGCTACTAAGAAAATTAGTCTGTGGTTATATTCCCAGTGTAAATGCTAATAAAATAAATTGCACAGTAAGGACTGCTGTGCAGAAAGGGGCAGGAATACATAAGCCTTCCCACAGGAAATAAAAAAAATAACATTCAAAACTTTAAAAAAAACTGATGAATTCAGCACTTTCATTTTGTACTTGTATAGTAGATGTAGCTAGGAATGCAAGGCTCCCTTTATTTGTACATAACACTATTTTATTTTGTTTGTTTAAGGGATGCAGACAGTCCAACTAGATTGTAAGCTCCATGAGCAAGTTATTAAAACACGTTTTATACAGTTGTTAA